TACATCAAAGGAGATGAGATAAATGGCATACTCAATTTTACTATACTAGACGGTATTTCATCATAGCCACAAGAGTTTTTCCATTTCAAACTTCTGTTCATCTTATAAATTTCTTTTTCAGTAACAGGCTTCAAATTTATTGGTAGGAAAGGTTGGTGAGATTCATGTACTAGGTATACCAAATACGAATGCTGATTAATTTGGTTGTGGTCTTGTTTAATTATATTTAAAACACATTCATCCACAACTTTAGAGAAGTAATTATTAAAAGTATCTGCAAAAAATTTGAGGATTTTTAGTTAGTTTCCTTTCAATGTTCAACATAAGTTCATTCTCACTATTAGATCCTTTATTAGTTAAGGATCTGATAACATTCCAGGCTGTTTTTGTTTTATTTGATGATTGAGATATTAATTTATTATAATGTAATTTCTTTGCTAACTGAATGGTGCTGGTTAAAATTTTGCAATATTTTTTATAATAGTCTTTTAAGAGAGTGTTATTAGATGTCTTGCTAAGCAAATACAGGTCTTCTTTGTGCCAACATGGAATTAATTTACCTTTAGTAAGCAATCCTTTCGATGTATCTTTGACTAAAGATTTATGTAAAGGAAAACTAGAGTAAAATATCCTTAGGTAAGTATTCAAGAAATTGTTAATTATTGCATTTACATCATTGTCACATTTAGAATCAGAGACATTTCATAACTCAAGTTCAATTTAAATTCCCTTATGGAGTAATCGTCATAAAATCTACCAATTCTCACCAATCCAGATTTAAGAAATTTATATGAGGGATTACAAAGTGTGAGCATTGGAGCATCATGGTCAGATAATCCATTATAGTATTTTTTTATATTAAAATTTTTATTCCTACTTCTGTCAAGAAAAATGTTATTATTATTTCTAAATAGCTCAGGAATGTCCAATGGGAGGTTAAGGTGTTTTTTTTTATTGTTAGTGGGGTGGGACAAAGTCCCTTGAACTGCGGCCACGTCTGGCCTATTGTACCAGCCCCAGATGATTGGTAAGGGTGACTGTGGAGCAATTGGTGGAATGAAGATTGGCAGGGGAAACCAAACTACTCAGAGAAAACCTGCCCCAGCACCACTTTGTCCACCACAAATCCCACCTGACCAGACCTAAGATCGAACCCGGACCGCAGCAGTGGGACGCCAGCGACTAACCGCTTGAGCTATGGCACGGCCTGAGGTTAAGGTGTTAGTGGTGTTCCACTTTTGGGTTCTACTATGAGAGATGAGTTATAAACAGACATACTATATACTTATACTAGGTGTACCATATAAATGGAGAAAAATTTCATCTTTGATTCTGAAATAATTTCATCCCAAGTGTGGCTCTCAAGGTAACCCATTCCAAAGAAGAATATACAAATGAAGACTGGAGATGCTATTAGCTGATCTAAAAGGATCTTCCTGGATATACTTTTAAAATCTCGTCTTGGAAGATGCCAGTCCAAGAATTTATAAAATATGTGCTGTGGTGGGCCTTGAGCAAGGCCAACAATAAACATGCGACCTATAAAAAATTAAAGATTATTACCAAAACTATCCTAATGATAAATGCAAAATTAATTACCAATTAACACCTTAATGTTATGATGGCATGCTGGTAACTTCTAATTCAATTGCATCAAATTCGCTTTGGTCCGTATAACACAAACCTGTTCTCTCCCAGTCAAAGGGTTTACTCTTCGGAGTTCTGCGTTTTTCAATTTCTTGCTGAATTAAATCTCCAGCTGACATAAGCACTCCACTTGAAATAGTGTTTGTCAGAAACAAATATTTTCCAAATATCCTGTTGAACATACCTCTCATCTTTGCTACGTACTATGTAATTATTTTAAATCGAAAGACTGAGTAAGAACCAAAAATTACTGGATGTTACAACTCTTCAATACTTATGTGCTAGTCTATATGGTCTATATATAAATATTGGCATTTGTTGCCTGTTACCTCACTTCCAGTTCACAGCTGATCTGTGATGTCACCACGGAGATAAGTTACATTACTACTTTCAGGTTGCAGCATAATATTTTTCTTTCGTACAACTCCGAAGAACGAAATTTCTTTACGAATAAACACATTGTCCATAGCACAAGGCCATCTTAACATGTTTTGCCGATTAGTACCTAGTTCAACAGAGCAGCACTTGGTTACGTTTGGTACGGGATTCGCTGTTAATCGTGTCCATCGTGTCTCTGTTAACTTAACCTGTTTCTGAAAGAAGGCTCTGCTACTGATGAAAGGAATGGAATGGCGGCGAGTGCGGTATCGATGTCACGGCTCCTGAAATTAGCGCAGAAATTCAATTGCTTTTACCTGTCAGGTATTTATAAAGAAGTATTTAGTTATCTAACATCTTAATTAACGCAGTTATAATGACACTTTTCTTCAGCCTAAGTCATTTTGTGTCTGCTGCTGGTGTGTGCAGTATTGATTTCAATAACGCCTACTTTGTTACTAACCATTTTGTATACATCGATCTCACATGCTTTCTTGTTTGTGTTTCTTTTATATTGGATGTCTGGATGGATACACGGAATTATGGTGTTATTTGTACCGGAATGAATATTTTAGTATGTGTTGTGTATTAACTGGTGGATTTGAAATTCGTAGTAAACTTTACGTAGGTATCTGCATTGTTAAACGGGTAAGGTGAATGTGGAACGGGATCATTTTGTGTATTTGTCGTGTTACTTGTGTGACGTCGCTGAGCGTAATATGTAAAAATAAGAGCAAGCATGTAATCTTTTTAAAATAATTAATGTAGTAATAGTTACGTGTTGTAGGATCACCAGTAGGCAACATGAAAATACATCATGGAGTGATGTCAGTTTTGGCTACCATGCTTAACAGTTGTGAATATAAGTAAGGGAAGGGGTGGAAAAGAGAGAAGGCTGGAGAACATGGGTAAAATTTCACAGCAGGCTGTGGATGATATTTAACATTCCTTCTTGTGTATATTTTTATTTCATTCAGAAAATATTTGTTTGTGGCATTAAGTTTATACAATGCAATCATGTCCCACTCTGACAGGGGACTGTATTAGAGTAATAAAACGTAAGTGACCATTGTGTATTCACGCCACCCCCAAAAGGTCTCTTAATATACATGTCGGAAAAAATTATGTCCCATACAATTTTCCTTCACATAGCATATGATTCATATTAGAGACAATGGTAGTGAATTTAAGATCAGTTTGTCATAAATATTCAGAATTCATTTTCATTCTTTTCCTCTTTCCTTCTGAGTAGGAAAAGCCACAGGACATTGATAGACTACCATGTGTCATGTTAGTACTCCTACTTTGTATTTAGGATGTCTCCTGATTATCAGCTTGGAAGCTAATGGAGCTTCTTTCTACCCCAGTCCTTGCATATATGCTGGCTCAGTCCATGTAATTGTTCAGTGTCATCCTAGCATTNAAATACTTTACAATACAATAAGTAATAATAATAATACAATATATAACACAATGATATAATAGTATCTACCCCAGTCCTTGCATATATGCTGGCTCATTCCATGTAATTGTTCACTGTCATCCTAGCATGTTATGCTGTAGAATCAGAAAAGTTGAGAAACTGTCATGAAAAGGAAATTTTAATGTGATTACATCATCATTTCTTCACATTTTTGGAGGCTGAAAGGAAGTCTTGCTCCACTGTTGGAGCATATGCATCCATCTTAGTAGACATCATTGATATGGACTAGAATGTTGAGTTGCTCTCGGATCTTTGCACCATATGGATGATTGTAGCATCCATGATGTTTTGTAGGTGCATGCTGCCTCTGTCTGTACAGTTGGAGTAGGGTCTGTGAGTTCATGTTTATATAGATTTTGATTCAGCAGAGTCAGTGAGGGGAGAAGGGTGGAATTATGTGCCCATTGCAAGTCACTAAGCACCATGGACAGGGAAGGTTATCAAATGGCCCTTTCTAGGGCCACCAAATACACTATTTCACACTTTGCTTTCCTCCCATTCCTATTGCAACCTAAGCTTGGCCAACAGAGAACCCCACTGCCACCTTCCACATAGCTGGACCCACAGCAAAGAAGGTAAATGGTATTGTGCTTGGTGAGCACAGCAACTAACTGTTTGGTAGCACCAGTTGCAATCATTTTTTTTTTGTCTTTAACAACAGCCTTTGTTTACTTTCCCCTGGTCACTGTCCATGTTGGCAAAGAATGGGCACCATCTCATATCCTTATCCCTTTGGGGCTGTTGGACCAAAAGCTGTATATACTTGTACACAAACACTCAGACACCATGCTCACTCCAGCCTTCTGAAATGTGAGCAGCACTGCCTACATATGCACAGTGCGAAGACCAATGGGTAGAACCAACCTCGGTGAAGTTCTGTGAAACCATAAAATTACTTAAGTAGTTAAATATTTCTAATTCGTATTCTGTTGAATATCAGAGAACCAGCACCACCTTGTTGCCTCAGGTTGTCTGAGTAACATCGTGCTTTTAATTCTGGTCCAAATGTTTTGTTTCTTTCAAAAAGGAAGCTCTGAAATTCTGTTATTGGGTGTTTGAAACTAGAAACTGTTCTTGTAGTCACTTGGATTATTGGGACTCTATTGCGTTTATATGTGGACTATCCTGTGGTGGTCTCAGTAACAGATTCTTTTTTTTTTTCTTATTCATGCCCTCATGTGGTAGGCAGAGAGATGCTAAAGATTTTAAAATCATTGATGGCTGTGGTTTAGAATCTGAGGATTCTTTTGTAGAATAGAAAATAAAATGACTGGGGACCATGTTGGAAATAGCCATCAGTCATGGAGCTTGAGAGGTTTATGAACCAAAAGCTCTTGACACATAGAAGTCATAGCTGGCATATTTCACACATGTAGCTTTGTAGGAATTATGTGTTTATGATGAAAAATAAAAATTATGGCATTTTTATCCAGGCTATGTATATGTTGAGCATTATAACAAATTTAAGACTTTGGTTTTTCTGGGGAGCTTCATCCTATGGAAAGCATGAGGACAGTGGAAGGTTGTGGACACATATATGTCTAGTCCACATATGTTTATTTAAAATAAGTTATTTAAATAGTAATGTAAACTAAGAATAGACTGGTTAAATTTTTCACTGCTATCAGGAGCTTTTTGAACATACAGGATGCTGAGAAACTTCTCATAATTTTTCCAGCATTTTCTGAATATTAGTTGGTGAATGTTTACCTGGATTTCCTTAATTTTCTTGTTTTCATTGCTTCTATTCTGATATGAGTGCTGATGCTGAGTTCAGAGAAGTCATATCTACCCTTTCCTGGTTTTCCTGCAATATTATCAGCCTTAGATGAGGTCATTGGATTTTTTTAATTGACCTAATCCTTCCAGCCGCACTATGGCCCTTGGGTTCACTGAGCCTCTAACAGAAATGAGTACCAGGAATTAATTAAATAATTTTCCTGGGGAGTAAAGCATGGCCAGCATGTAAGGCTGACAACCTTACCACCATCTTTGAGCCGATTATCTAGATAATGTAGGACTCTTCAACGTCTCACAACCCTATGGGCCTTCACGGCCTGGTACAGGGATAGCTTTACTTACTTTACTTTTTATGGAACAATTCAGTTGTATTGCCAATTTTGGCAATCATCTTTATTTACTTTGCATGATTAAACAGTTAATGTCTGTTTAAAATTTTACTATAAATTTTACATTTTTACCATGTTTTTTACTTCTGTGTTCCTTATCTGATCTGGTTTGCCCAGCTGTACTGGATAGGAATTTAATTTTGTTTCCCAAAATTCTGCATATTTTCTGTTAGTGGCTGACAAATACAAGGCTGCAAAAGGAACTCATATACCATAATGATTATCAGTATCTTTAATAAATGAGGATCTAGGTAATTGCATATTTGTGCCTCATACATGTGTATATTTATTTGAATCTATAGAGCGACAGCAGGCAAACTGTCGACCCTTCATTGTTGAAGGCTATCAAGTGGGGTTGGTGAGACCAGATGTAATGTTGGAACTGTCGCGTTACCCAGATGTGTTTCACATTCAGCCAGACTCTGTTGAACTAAACCCAGCTTTCAGAGATTATGATGAACGAAGCTCAAAAGTTGAAGCAGTCTTAAAAGAGTGCCGATCTAACAATGTATTCGTTGCATTAAAGGGATGGCGGGAAGAGGTAAGTACATCATAACATTTATGAACTCTTGTGTAATTTTGTTCCTGGTTTTAAGTCAGTAGTCTCCAGACTACAGCCTGCTGGTTATAATGCTTACTCTTCAGTCAGTATTGTAATGATGAGCAAATAAAAACAATGAAATTGGCAGGAAATGTAAAGTACATGGAGAAATAAGAAATGAATACAGAATTGTGGTAGGATAGCTTCAAGGGGCCTAGGTGTATAGGTGGAGGGTAATAATAAAATGGATTTTATAGATACAGGCCTTGAAAATGTGAACTGGATTGAACTGGCTCATGTTAAGCTTTTGTGACAATGGTGATTATCTTTTAGGTCCCTTAATAGGGAATGTTGTAACCAGCTGAATAACTACAAGGGTTGGAACTTTAATAGTGACAACTATTTATTTACAATTCATCAAAATAGATGCATGTTTCAAAATTTTACTGTCCTTCCATGTAGTCACCAGCATTGTGTACAACCTGTTGCCAGTGATGTGGAAGTCGTGGGATTCCTTTAGCAGCGCCTGTTCTGTTGATAGTTCGAATGGAGCGGTCTACTGCCTGAAGAATCTCTGGAACAGTTCTGAAGCGAATGCCACGAAGTGGTTCCTTCATCTTAGGAATCAAGCCGAAGTCACAAGGGCTTAAGTCCAGGGAGTATGGTGGATGGTACAGCACTTCCCAGCCCCATCGATCAAACAAATCAGCCACAGCTTGCACTTCATGCAGCTGAGGATTTTCCTGCAAAATGATGGATGGGTTCTGCAGAAAGTGTCACCACTTCTTTCTCAAAGGTGGTCACAGGTTGTGTTCCAAAAACGAACAGTAATACTGCGCATTTATGGTCTGCTGTTGGGGAACGGTATGCGTTAGGATAACACCATCACAGTCGTACACGAGAATCACCATAACTTTCACATTGCTGGGGTTCTGACGAACTTTTGATTTTCGTGGTGACCCGTAATGATGCCATTCGTTCGATTGGAGTTTCATTTGTGGTTTGTACGATTTGGCCCATGTCTCATCCAGCGTAATGATACGGCGTATGATAGCCTCTTCTTTGTGCTCATAGTGCTCCAAGTGGTTACAAGCAGCACCATATCGTAGCCATTTCTGCATTTCCGTCAAATCATGCGGAACCCATCGTGATGCAGTTTTTCTCATGCCCAGACGTTCCTTCAGAATGTGAAGCACAGTTGTATGCACTAATCCTGTTTATTGGGCCAGCTCACAAATCATATGGTGTTGAACACTCTCCAGTAACGCAGAAAGAGCATACACATCTTCACTGACACTAGGATGACCTGGCCAAACCCATCGTGATGCAGTTTTTCTCATGCCCAGGTGTTCCTTCAGAATGTGAAGCACAGTCATATTCGCTAATCCCGTCTCTCGGGCCAGCTCACGAATCGTATGGCATTGATCACTCTCCAGTAATGCGGAAAGAGCATACACTTCTTCACTGACACTGGGACGACCTGGCTGACATATGTCTGCCACATTTTGGCTTCCCTCATTGAAGGCTTTTACCCACCTTGCCACTATTCTGTAAGGCAATGCAGATTCCCCGCAAACCTCTTGAAGACCTTGATGACACTGTTGTGCTGTATGACCTCTGGCACATTCAGTCTTTATCCAGCTCTCTTGTTCCTGTTTTGAAAACATCGCGACAACACTACATCAAACCGCCAGCTAAAACGAGGCTCTGTTCTTCTCGTCACTGTGCACGCACGTGATGTGGGAAGGGAGAGTCCATTTGCTCCGAGGTAAGGTCAGTATGTAAGTAACGTGTGTATAAGTGGCATTATTTGATTCCCTTGCATGCCATCTCTACAGCAGTTTTGCCACTATGAAGTTCCAACCCTCCAATTAACTGCTTACCCCATCAATAGTAATGGAGCATACATATTTAAAAATATCTTCCATTCACATTGTTTTGTGAATTAAGAAACATGTGTTTTTAGCATTAGTAATTATGTTCAGCACTTATAATTTATTGCCTGATGGGAACTTATCTTTAGTTTGTGCATCCTGTCATATGTGTTGTATTAGAGATATTTTTAGGAGCTGTCGGCACAACAGTTGATTGATTATAAAACTGTTGTTAAGGTGTTGATACTCAATCATTTTCCATCACTGCAAATAGTCATCTATAATACCCATTACCACACATCAGAAACGCCTGCAACTACAAAGCACATCCACAACACACACCACCATTTTTTTTTACTGGTGTGTATCAACAGTTTACATAAATCACTGAAGCTACTTGATTTTCATTTCATGGATATTATTATTATTTTTGTTGATGAGAATGAAATGTAAAAAATTGAGCCATTTAAGCTGAGAATTCAATAACAGATATGTATTAAAAAACCATCTGATGAAGATCTCTGCAGATTGAAACATGTAGTGGAATATGGAAAATAAAACTAAATATTAACACCTTTTTTTATTGCTAGCGGGATGGGACTAAGTCCCTTGTACTGCAGCCACTTCTGGCCTATTGTACCAGCCCCAGATGATAGGTGAGGGTGATTGTGGAGCAGTTGGTGGAATGAAGATTGGCAGAGGAAACCAAAGTACTCAGAGAAAACCTGCCCCAGCACCATTTTGTCCACCACAAATCACACTTGACCAGACCCTGGATCGAACCTGGGACCGCCTCGGTGGGAAGCCAGCGACTAACCGCTTGAGCTGTGGCACGACCATATATTAACACCTTAGTATCAATTTTATAATCAGTTGCTGTGTTGACAGCTCCTAAAATTTTCTCTAATAGGTGGGAATTTGTTGTAAACCTTTTAAGGTTAAGATTGTAACAGTTGGCAACTTGAAGAACTTAGGTGGGAAAATGGATTTTGGTCATAATGTAGGAGAGAGTTGTCACACAAACCTGAATGCAAGGGAGAGTACTTCCTGAGTTGTGTGAACTATTTCTACATCAAGAGGTGGATCCAAAAATGTCTTGGGTGCATATGAATGTAATATTTCTGGAACTGTGTCAGTTTAAGATCTTGGCAGAATATTTGGGATATTTGAATTTTTCATGTTTGTCCTGCAGCTGTCTGCATTTTTCATGTGTTATATCACAGCTGATATTGAGTGTATAAGTGACATTAATGTTCCACATTCTTTTCACATACTGGCTGTTTTGCACATTTAACATAATAAGTGCAGTGAGCTACTGTTTATAGCCTCAGTGATTTTAGTTCTACATAGCATTCTTCTTGTAGAATATGATGCAGAATGATTTACATAAATATAATTTCTGGTACAGGACACATCCGTAATGTAAATTAAGTACAGTCTGTCCCCCACATAATGAAAGTACAAGTTATGGCATTTTCCCCATGCAGAAAACATAAAATTCATGATACAAACCACAAATTCACCCTTATGAGCATTTGGGATAAATATTAATCTGTTGTAAACACAATGGAAAACAAATTCAGCTCAAATTAATTGTTTTTATAAATAAATTAAGATAACATGTGTTCATGTGTCAGTGGTATAGCAAAGTATATAACTGGACATTGGCTACCCAGCCAGTGCTCATGCATCATTGACATAGGGGAATGGATGCTGTTCCTAATTTTAGATTGTGTAGTGTATTACCCATGCTTGAAATGTTTGGAAAGAGGCCATCAAGTACAGGCACTGGAGGGTAAAAACGTATGCTTTTATTACAAATGTGGACTAAAAAAATTCTGTACACATCATAACTTATAACCAGAGAGGCAGCGGAGAAGTAGGGAGTAGTTATGGTTGTATATTTGAACCTGTCTGTTTCTTGGGTGGGATGAAGAAGATGGTACAACAATACTGCAATAATATCTGTTAGTAATAAAATATTGACTATGAACTTTTACATTTGTACATAATGTATAGTATGGTTTTACAGTTACTGTATTTGTTTAACTAGTGCTTTGAGGTTCGATCTGCATTCTCCAGCCATTCACTGCTCAAGATGGACCGATCTGCTACTTGTAAGTTAATTATAATATTCCATTACACGTTTATTTGTATAGTCATCCCTTGGCTGATACAATCTGCTGTTGATTGTGGGAATCAGGGTTGTCTATTTCACGTTTTATCACTACCATATTAAGTTTGTTGTAACAAATTTTAAATCAGAGTAAAATATAGAGTAAATATTTTCCACAATCAGAAAATACCGTAACTGAATTGCTGTAATTTGTACAATTTTTTGCCATACTGGAAAAAAATATATAACAATTAATTTCTGCATTATTTACTAATATAATATAATATAGATTGTGAGAGCCAGTTCTATGGATTTCAGCATACTGGAACATGAAAAATAATGTAACAGATCTGATCAACGCGTTGCCAGGCAACAGCTCTGTAAACATGACCAATACACAACAGTAGAGGAAGCTGTGTTTTCTGTAGATCTGACCGATGCACCAATAGACTGGCTGGCTAGCAATCACATGCTATGTGTTTACTGTGGGTTCACATCCATTCCGTCGCTGTATGAGTAAGTGACATAATTCATTTAAGACAGTTACGAGTCAGTCATAAGCTGGAGGAGTGAGTCCAAAAGAATTTTTAGTTCTGAGGTTCCAGAGTGACTGAAGACAAAATAGCAAGAAGACTTCATAGTGATTTGAAGTGCTAGTTTCTGTGTTGAGACACATTGCTATGAGATGAATAGTGGAAACTGAGAATCCTAGTGCGTGTGCAACGGTGAACTGTAAGGTGTGTTAAATCAGTGATAGCTCTGTATTAATTGTAATTAAGAGAGAGAGTGTAACCGAAGTGCTAATAAATCCAGTCATCTGAACTAGAACCCATTATTTTCATCACGTGCAACCCCTACATGTGACACTATTTTTAATTTTAATTTATACTGTATGGATGGGCATGAGCATGTACATGTGTGAAGAAGGATAGGGGTAGCTACTAGTGTGATATCTGGGTCTGAAGTCCTGGTAATGGATTCTGGGACTGTTTTCCCACAATGTTAGAGCAGCTGAAATACAAAGCGTACAGGATACCTCCATCTAGTTCTGATAATATATGAATCTTTAGCTCCCACAGATGAACCTGTTTAAATAACAATATAACAAGCAATACTGTATTCATTAAATAAAAAAAAGTAGAAGGTATACATATCTGAAGTAAAAGTTTGAGGGAGGGGATTTTACCTTGTATATTAACATTTCGCAGACTTACGATTTAAATATTTAAATCACCCTGGGGACCGGCATTTTTAAACCTACTACCCTAACTTTTGCACTGTTCACTTTAAAAATTAATATAAAATCTCGTAATTAATTTTATGAACAGATATTTGGAGAACACTTACCAGTGCTCCTAGAAGTGCTTGAGAGTGTGATATTTCTGGAAACATTCTCCTTTGTGAAGTGGCATTACACAACTTGCACATGTAGACAGTCATACTCCTTTTGTTCTGTGCTGCCCAAACACGGCATCACCTAGAAGGCTCTTTCCCTTGGCATGTTCACTCTTCACAATTTCATGAGGGTATGTTTCCGCATATCACCTGAGAGTCGCCCAGGGGGGTTCCACATGAGGCCTGCGTGGGGTGGGAGTTGATGGACCCAGTCACACTAAGTCTGTGTCTGCCGCCCGTTCTGCCACTACCGTGTGGTCTGTAGCTTTTGCCACATTCAGCAGAAATACCTTGTATTTCAATTTTGAATGAGAGTTTAGATTTTTGGAAACCAAAAATGAATTGAAAATGGCACAATTATAAGCCACAAGGCAACTTTCTGTGTCCACTTTACTGTTTTCCGAGGAAGAGAATAATAGGCCAAGTACTGATTGGCTCTATCAACTCCCTTCATGAACATATTATACTCAGGAATATGAACAGGCTTCTTTACCTGTCCATGTCGCCTTTGAATATGAACCATGCTCGAATTGTGAATTGTGGATTTGGGTCTGATGGAATTTTATTCACCCCTGGATTTCCAGTAAACTGTCCCAAAGCAGGCGTTTTCTTTACTTTTCCCCATGTGTCTGTCCCCACAATGTTGCTACCCGCACTTTCGTCGGAGCTACTGTCACTTTCACTTTCACTCTCTGTGGCCACAATTTTTTGTTCGCCCCTGCCACATTCACTATCAGATTGTGAGTCGCTATCACTAGCAGGCTTAGAAGGGACGTCAGATAGCTCATCGGAGAAGAAGTCAGATATTTCTTGTTCTCCGGGAAAACGCTTGGACCTCAACCTCTTCCGACCTTGATCCATTTTGCACTAGTAACTTCCTGCCTGGTGCATACAGCTGGAAGATGAACAAAGGCATTTTCTTTTGGAGTGGGAAAGTAAAACAGTTGGGTCATAAACAGTGGGATCGTGTTACTGACTACGAAGCAAACATTCAAGAGGTCTGTTACGCACCAGTCATCCGTCTGCCTGGCGCCAGTGCAAGGTATAATGTGTTTCAACATACCATGTCCTAAAATTATAATAATATGCCACCGGTCCGCAAAGTGTTAAGAGCAGATGTCATGACTATAATGTTATGATGGTACAAGAAAATTTACAAGCTTGCTTCAGATTCCTTGAAAATTTTATTTCAATTATATTGTAACATGTAGTATTATTGCAACACACTGATCGCGAGAAGGATCATACATTGCTTGGTAGTGGCCTGTAAACACATCAGTGATATCCAAGCTATTGCTGGGCAACTGCCCATAACAACAATAGAGGGACTGTTGGAGGTGGTAGTTTCTATTGGGTCTGTCCCCAAGGCTATTATATAGCGAGGACCTCAGGTCAGGTGAGTGAGTTCAGGTGTGGGATATTTGCCAGACAGTAATGATGTGAGCTTGGAAGATGAAGCATCTCCATCAATAGGATCCATTACCAGGCAAAGACTATTGGTGGATGTAACAGACTGAGAACACTAGTGTGTGTATCACAATGAACCGTAAAGCGTTGTTACAAGTCATGTTAAGGTAATCAGTAAATCAAGTCACCAATCCAGCCCCCACCTATAGTCACCCAAAATATGTGACAGTATTTTAGTGATGTATCTAAAAAAATATGTAATAATGAGGCCAGTATTGTCTTCTCAATCTGACAAAACGAAAGTAGTGCTGGAATATTTATATTAAAGCTTTTCTTGGACCTCAGATTTTCAAGAACTGCACATTCAACTTCATTAATATATGTGGCCTAGGAATAAAAATGTTAAGGAAGTTTATGTGACAGTATTTTAGTGATGTATCTAAAAAAATATGTAATAATGAGGCCAGTATTGTCTTCTCAATCTGACAAAACGAAAGTAGTGCTGGAATATTTATATTAAAGCTTTTCTTGGACCTCAGATTTTCAAGAACTGCACATTCAACTTCATTAATATATGTGGCCTAGGAATAAAAATGTTAAGGAAGTTTATGTGACAGTATTTTAGTGATGTATCTAAAAAAATATGTAATAATGAGGCCAGTATTGTCTTCTCAATCTGACAAAACGAAAGTAGTGCTGGAATATTTATATTAAAGCTTTTCTTGGACCTCAGATTTTCAAGAACTGCACATTCAACTTCATTAATATATGTGGCCTAGGAATAAAAATGTTAAGGAAGTTTATGTGACAGTATTTTAGTGATGTATCTAAAAAAATATGTAATAATGAGGCCAGTATTGTCTTCTCAATCTGACAAAACGAAAGTAGTGCTGGAATATTTATATTAAAGCTTTTCTTGGACCTCAGATTTTCAAGAACTGCACATTCAACTTCATTAATATATGTGGCCTAGGAATAAAAATGTTAAGGAAGTTTGCTGTAAAGTAACATAATGTGAAAGAGGAGGAATTATTTATTTCTGTGTGTAATTTTTCATAAAGCTTGAGCACAAATTGCAAAGAAGTAAAGGGTATATGCAACTCATTTGAAAAAAGCAGAAGATGTATGGTATATATCATTGTATACCCTTCACTACAGCACTGATAACAAACTATGCTCAAAGTGTATACAGAGACATACAACTATGTTGGTCTTCATGTAAAAGCCCATTTTTGTTGTCCAGTTTTAACCAAAATTGGAATATGTTGACAAACTTCCTAATATCAGATTTTATGAAAATCCATTCAGCAGTTCTTGGATTATATACAGATGGACAGTCAAACATGATGAAATTAATGGGTACATTTATGGAACTTTCCATTGTGAACATGCCAGAATAGAAGTGTTATGAGGTAGGGCAACATACTGCCTTCCTAAAAGTTTAGACTGCGAGATCTGGTGCAGATTTTCCTGCATGCATTCTTTATCGATCAGCTCTTTTTAAGTCAGAACTTTATGAATATAGGAAGTAATAAATCCCATCATGGTTTGGAGTCCACATTAAGTTGTACCAATACCAGTAATTATCCTGCCATTAAGAGGAAATGGAATCCTGTCCCATTGGTGCTTTAACTTTTTTACTCCTGCTAGCTAAGAAGAGACCAGGAAGGTCAAAAGTCCAGAATTGGGTGTATTATAAAGAAAGAAAATTGATCAGACTCCATTTCTAAAATATTGACTGCTGTGGGTCATATTTTGTCCTGAGGTCAAGTTACTAGTGTGTTACATGTTCAGTTTTCTAATCTGGTACATAATCTTGAATTAGAATTACAAATATTTGAACTGCAACAAATAGTACCATATTTTTGATCCACATGGCAAAATGAAATGGATTTGAGAGCCACTGCAAAAACCTGTAAGTAAAATTCATTATTTCATCTCAGGTCTGTTTGGTATCTGTAATTACGGGGTGGATATCAACGGTTATGTGATGGACTCAGAGAAGGGACTGTGTATCTGGCTGCAGCAACGCTCAGCAACGAAACAGACGTGGCCTGGAAAATGGGACAACATGGTCAGTATCAACAACACTTCCCTGAATCAAAATATGTACAGTTCTGCATAAGATAGCATAGTTGTACCTATGTGCTGACACAGAGGGTCCACAATTGAAGTATGTCTTCAGTAGCATTAACAAAATCTAAACTTCAGTAAAATGTTTTTAACTAAGTACATGGATTTGAGTCCTTGAGAAGCTAGGAGGCAAAATGATTTTACTTATCTAAAATTTGGTACTTCAGTTTAATATTTTGAAGGTTTCTTCCTGTAAGTGACCATATGTACTTAATTTTCTTTCTTTTTATTGTTTATTTATTTATTGTATAGGTTTAGTATTCAGATTTTCACGTATTCAGTTCCAACATTGTGTGTTAAGTGAAATTGTTTTTTGTTTTACTGTACCCATCCATTTGTTATGCTGGTGTGTGCAGTCCAGCATCCTCCTGGCCTCTCTGAAGTCATTGTCCTGCATTACTTTTGGCCAGTCTTATAAAATCTTCATTTATAGCTGACCTTCTGATATATGAGGTATATGGGAAAGTTCCCAGAGTAGGTCAAAAAAGAAATGCTGGCTTAACTTACTCAATTTTGGCTGCCGTCTCCTTTAAAATAGTCTCCTTTGGAACGTATACAGTGATCCCATCATTTTTTTACACACTTCAGAAGCACCATGGAAGTCATTTTCCTTAATGCTGTCAAGTACCACTTGCGATTCCCTTTGGATGTCATACACTGTTTCAAAATGTCATCCCTTCAGTTTCATTTTCAATTTGGGAAACAAAGCAATATCACAGGGAGCTAAGTCTGGTGGGTAGGGAGGATGGAGAACACTAACCATTTTGTAGTTAGTCACAGGCTCTGGTTTTCAGAGACATGTCACCGGGTGCATTGTCATGATGAGGGAGCAATGCAGCATGTTCAGATTTTCTATTAAGATCTGGCAAACTCCATAACTGATCCCAGCGGCATCTGAAAGCTCATGGATTGTTCGGCATTGGTCTTCGTTGATGAGTTCTCGAGTTTTTTCAACATTTTCTGTCATTTTGCTGGTGCTTCTTCGCCATGAATGTTTATCATCTTCAACTGACACTCAACTGGTCTTGAAACATGAATGCCATTCAGCAGCTGCTGTGTCTTAAAGAATGTCCTCCAGAAGCCTCACAAAGCAAACCTTGCTTAACCACAGCCAGGAGATAAGTTCATTGTTGACACAGATGTGAGTAATACCCTGTTATAGTAAGATGCTGAAGAAGGCAGAGAGAAACTACTACTTCACTCGGCGGGAAATGTTGGCTCTCATGAGGACACTAGAGCATTTCCATAAGTACCTCTGCGGACAAGAGTTCCACTTATGCACCGACCACTCCATGCCAACCTGGCCCATGAGTTTCAAGAACCTTGAGGGGCAAACAGCCCACTTTATTCAGCACCTGCAGGAATATGACTACTTCTGAGCACCTTCAAGGCTGGAAGCACAACAGGGCCGCTGCTCTTTCACAAAGACCATGCTGAGAAGAATTTGCTCACTGTCAAAAAGTTGAGGTGGGAGCAGAAGCAAACCAGGTGTGGGCTGTTGCCAGCAATAGCTGGGACCAACCCAGCTGCCATAAGGAGGGATCAGCTGAACAACCAAGACATGGCGCCAATTCTGGAAGAATGAATGAATGTATAAGGGGTGGGCATTCTTGGCCCTTGCCCTGTGACCACAGTGATCTATTGTGCCTAATTCTGGAAGAAGTAGAGGCTGAACAAGATCCAGAGTGGAGAGACATTGCTGACCACAGCCCCATGTATAAGGGCTACTGAGCCAAATGGAAGTCCCTCACAGTAAGGGATGGCATACTGTAGCGCCACTGGGAGTCTACCGACAGGCAATCTAAAGCAGCTCACATAGTTCTTCCTTGGTGTAAAGTCAAAGAAGTGCTGGCAGAACTCCATGGTGGACCATCAGGAGGATGCCTGGATTTTAACAAGACCTTGGACAAGGTCAGACAAAGGTATTATTGGCTTCAGCTGGGACACGATGTTGAGTAGTGGTACCGACGCTGCGATTCCGGTGCAGCCAGCCGAGGCCCACAGACCAAGGGTCAAGGTCTTATTCTTCAGTACTCCATCAAGGCTCTGTTCCAAAAGATAGCCATTGATATAGCAGGGCCCTTCCCACTGAGTGACTGAAGGAACTGATACCTCCTGATGGCTATGGACTGTTTTACCAAGTGGCTGGAAACCTACGCCATTCCCAACCAAGAAGCGTTGACTGTATCAGAAGCATTAGTTATGACATTCCACCACGTCATACCAGGGTCATAACTTTGAGTCCCTCCTAATCCAGGAAGTTTGGAACATCTGGGAGTGAGCAAGACACCCACCACACCCCTGCACATGCAATCATATGGCATGGTGGTGTGCTATGTCTAAACAGTCGAGGAGCACCTGTGGAAAGTCATCGCATCACACAGGAGAGATTGGGACATGAACTTACTCATCTTCCTCCTTGCTTACAGGACATCTGCCCACAACACTTAGCAGCTCCTCCACTCTTACCCTATTTATTACACTTCAGGTGATGATCGCTATCTTTTGTTCCATTGTTGTGTTCTCAGTACTCCCCAGATGGAATGGGGTGGCTAGGTTTTGAACATTACTCAAGAAAAGTCGGTATCTCCAAAATAAGTATTTTATAACACTTAATAACAATAAAGACAATAAAAAATANCCAAACTGACCTAACAGTGCGAGACAACCCAGATCGCAATGTTACCCCATTATCTGGTCTTACAGTAACATTAAATGGGGCAGCAGCAAGCCCAAACAAATAATAATATAGTACCAAACAACGCTTTTGTTACAAATGAAAAAACTTACATATTGTTGCAGTGAGGAGGCCCCTTGCCCTCAACAGCAAGAGCAAAGAGTCTAAACACAATTTGGAAATCCCAGATCTAAACAGACTTTAGTGACCACGTTGCTCGACAGCGGGGAAGCAAAATACTGCTCTATTATCCTTATCTTGTATCTTTATATTCATTTCCATAGATCCGTAGATATAGAATATGTCACATGGAGGTGTTCCTTTCTAAACAATGGAGGTAAGGGAAATCACGTGGTACATGGAATGATGGGATAATGGTAAATGAGCCACAGCACAGATGCTTTGGTGAGGGGGAATGAAGGAGGAAAGAATACCAGCCATAAAGGTGCAATTCCTGAGCCATCCCAGTAGGAAACATGGCTCAACACTATGGGCTTAACCCCAGCTAACCTCGTGTTCTCGCCTGCTTTGTAACCTGCTATTCAAGATGCCCCCCAGCAAGGAGCAACACACCATCAACCAAGTAGCAGATATGGTGAACTGGCTATGCATCATCCACGATTATGGCCACCATCTGAAGTTGGCCTGTGACTGAATGAAAACTCCATACAACCACCTGGTCAACTGAGTGGACTTCCAAGATGGTGACCAAATGTGGCCATATCACCCAACCTGCACCAGAGGGAAGTAACCGAAGCTTCAACCCTCATGGGAGGGCCCCTACAGAGTTGTCACCCAAATCAAGAATGTGTGTACAGGATTCAGTGGCATTTTAGGACAAAGATAATTATGATTCATCTGGACTGACTGGTGCCTTACCAGGGAGCTACTTGGGACAAACAGTCATACAGAGGAAGCATTGTGGCATTGTAACTGAAGAGAGAACAATTACTAGGTTATTCACAGTAAACATGTCAGCATAACAGTGATTATGCACACAACAATAGAGAAACTGCTGGAAACGGTGTTTTCTGTTGAGTCCACTCTAGGCTATATAATGAGGACCCCAGGCCATGTGAGTCAACTCAAAACATGAGAGGGTTACCAAGCAGTGAGAACATGAGCTATTAAACATGGAAGCAGAGGAATCTACATTGTGGTGGTATCTGTTACCAGGCAACAAGCAGTGAAGGTGAACCAAGAAGACCTCATGCATGCTACAGTGCTTAAATTAGTGAAACTGTTATAGTTACTTTTAGTTGCAATTTGTAAGAGTCCAATAAATCCATTTACCAGTTCAAAACCCATGTCTGGTTGCTTAATACATAACATTGTATTTCGGCTATGTCTTTTATGTCTGAGTATAGCATTTCATAGTTTAACAAATGTACTAAGTCTTGAACTGAGAGCTGCTTAATTTTATGTTTGCAGAAGGTTTTGCACGGTACTTAATTGGATAGATTGTTTCAGGTTGAACCTTCAGAATAAGAATAGAAGTTTGTGGAAAGTGTGCATATCCAAAATTGGTCAGTAATAGCAGGAATTTGGATATTAATACATTGCAGGTAGGTGGAGGGCTGTCTGTAGGTTATGGAATCCTGGAAACCGCCATTAAAGAAGCCGCTGAAGAGGCTTCTATACCAGCAGACTTAATTGCTAAACTTAGGTCTGCAGGATGTGTTTCGTGAGTAATCATGTATACTTGTATAATACATGTAGACTCTTAGCATTATTTCCTTTCCTCTCATCTTCCATGTAAATTTGTTCCTATTTATCTCTGGTTTTAAATAGGTACGAAAAGTCAGTCAGGTATAAAGTCAGTGCTTGTGTCAGTACTACAGGTAAATTGAAGCAGTTGATAAGACTGAACTTGGAATCAGCTGTTCTGAAGGAAACAGCTACTAGATGATTCATTCATTATGTCACTTCTATACCCAACTCATACCAGTGAATCACTGCAAATCTCTACCATATTTTCCCCGACTTAGCCTCCACAAATGGAGGACAGTTGTGACTACAGACAGTATGCAGTCACAGGCAGCAAAGAAATGGTAGTTTTCCAATTTCTTGAGGTGGGTGTAGGGTTAAGAACATTAAATCCTGAAAAGAGAACTTTATGTATTGTGAATATAAGTTCTCAGCATGACTCAGACAGAGGTGGTGGTAGTGTCCCCCCCCCTGTGGTTTTTGTCTATGCTGTGTTCTTCAGCTGCAGGTGATAGACATACAGTTTCATAGGAGACTGAAAGAGTGTTGAAAGCTTATTGCATTGAAGGAAGCATGTTTTATATGCATCAGTAACTCTCCCATTGCTCCCATAAACGGATTCTATTGCAGCATAACAAAATGCTTGAACGTTATAGTCCATAACTGAACTTGCATTGGTTTCACTAATTATCTTTTGTGTATTTTCTGCTGTCTTCTTTTTATCACCGAGCAGCATGATATCTATTTCACGTTGGTCAAATTATCTCCTATCTGCACTTTTTTTTTGTGGTTATCTCAGTGTTATTGCCAAGGGTAAGAATGGTGGAGCTGTACCTCCACTCCCCCTTATGTCTTCATGGCATAGTGCTTAATTAAGCACAGGGACAACTTCAAGAAATAAATTATCAACTTCCAAATCTTTTATACATTAGTTATTTGTAATCATCTTCCCAGTTCATTCCACACTGTCTGACCTCTGCAGTGGAAACAGTGCTGTTAAATGATCATGATGGAATGTCTCTACTTTGGTCTGTCTTATGTGCACTTGCTCATGGAATCATGCAATTCATGAACCTATATTTATAAGCCCTGATTACCTCCCATATCAAAGCAAAAGTGCCTAGTAGTTCACTGTGTTCATTTTATGTGTACTTGGTGTTATCTGTGGTAATTTATGTGTATGTGCTATCTAAACTTCATACAGTATCTTCTGTCATATCTAGAGATAATCATTTCAGCATTCACATATTCCGTCATTACCCTCTGAGTTAAGTTCCTGCCATACCAGATCTGTAGTCATTCTGAATTACACTCAAACAGTATAATACTTAGTGACTGTAGTTTGCATTGTCAGATATGTATGTGCAATTCAGCAGTAATGTGTAGTTATCATAGTGGCTGTACTGTAAATGCATTTAATTGATTAGTATAATGGAGTGAGGCTGAAGTCAGGCTGTACATATCATAATGTAAACAGGGGCTACTAAGTTTTCATTGTAATAATTTATCAGGACTTTGATGGTGTGATAGCATAGTCAGTATAATGACTGGCTATGGGCTGGACAACCAAGGGGTCAGAGTTCAAGTCCCAGTAGGGTCAAGAATTTTCTCTTCTCCACGTTATCGTGACCAGCTCTGGGGTCCATCCAACCTCCTATCCAATGGGTACCGGTGGCTTTTTTCTTGGCGGTAAAGCGACTGGGGCATGAAGCTGACCACTCATCTCCAACTAGTGCCAAGGTCAAGAAAATGTGGAACTGTACATCCGCTCTCCCATATGCCTTCATGGCATAGTGCTTAATTAGCTAAGCACAGGGACATCTTTACCTTTACCTTTGATGGTGGTACATTTTTATTGAAACGTGTGTTTTTAAGGCACCAAGACTATAGTGTGCACTTGTGAGATAGCACCTAGCAGGAGCTGTGTGACTTATGCATCAAGTGGCAATGAACATTTTAAAAAGTGTAGTGTCCATAAATCCATAAACCATAAACTGTGCATATGAGGTCTGACAATAAAGTTCGCGAACTTGCCACTGTGTGCTTGTTATGGTAGCAGTGGACAAAACCTCAGTATGATTTAATGACGTTGGCATATCAGCATTTTGCAGCTGTGTTTTTGATCGATGGCAGTCTCTTTCCGAGTGGCGTCTATTGTTGTCTGTGTTTTGATGTGCCATCATGAGAATGTCGGAGCTTGAATTAGAGCAACGAATGAACATTAAATTTCTTGTTAAACTTGACAAGAATGGAAACAAAATCAGAGAGGTGTTAGTGCAAGTTTATGGGGATAATGCTATGAAGAAAATATCAGTTTGCTAGTGAGTGACACATTTTTCTGAGGGAAGAGAAACTGTCACTGATGAAGAGAGATGAAAATGGCCAGCAGCAAGCAGAACTGAAGAAAACATTGCGAAAGTTTGTCAAATTGTGCGTGAAAATCATCGGCTAACTGTCCGGAGTATAGCAGAGCAAGCAAACCTCGACAGAGAAACAGTTAAGAAAATCTTAACTGCCAACAACTCATGGATATTGCATCATGACAATGCACCTGCTCCCATGGCACTGTCTGTGAGGGAGTTTTTAGCTAGTAAACAAATAAGTATGCTGGAACACCCTCCCTATTCACTGGATCTAGCCCTTGTTGATTTTTTCTGTTCCTGAAGATAAAGGAAATATTGAAAGAAGTCATTTTGATGACATTAATGACATCAGAAGTAATACAACAGCAGCTCTGAAGGCCATTCCACAAAACCAGTTCCAGAATTGTTTTGAAGGGTGGACTAGGCACTGGCATCGATGCATAGGTTCCCAAGAGCTGTACTTTGAAGGTGACCACTGTGATATTCAGCAATGAGGTGTGTAGCACTTTCACCATGATGAGCATGTGAACTTTATTTTCAGGCCACATGTTAATAATAATGATATGCCAATTACACAAAGTGGGCGGCCTTGCCATAGCTCAAGCAGTTAGTTGCTGGCTTCCCACCGCGGCAGCCCAGGTTCAAACCCGAGTCTGGTCAAGTGGGATTTGTGGTGGACAAAGTGGTGCTGGGGCGGGTTTTCTCCGAGTACTTCAGTTTCCCCTGCCAATCTTCATTCCACCAAATTCTCCATCATAATCACCCGGGGCAGGCTACGATAGGCCAGTCAGTGGTCACCATGCCGAGTGGACCCAGTTGGACTCCACCCCCCACTAAATTACACAAAGTGAGCAGCTACTGAATGTTAACTAGGAAATTTTGTTCCTTTTAGAAGGTCCTGAGGGATGTCAAATTCTAGTTACTGTTCTTGGTTAGCAGTCCTTTTTTATTAAGTGTGAGTGAGTCATAAAGATATGTGACTGTTGAGCTTGACATAGCCGTCTGGCAGTAGCATGAAGTATATTTTAGTTCTTAGTATATTCATTATATTTAAGAGTTCCAGGCCTGACTGTGCAGAGATTGGCTTTTGTGAGAGTAAGGTTGTTTTCCTCAGTCACTTGAAGGAAAATATAGGATAGTATCTTATTCATAATATGTTGTATGCCATCTTTGATATTCTTTGTCTCAGGCCACCATGTTGAAATGTAGATCGGTTTTGTACTGTTGTGAATTACCACAGCTGCTGGCAAATACTGCAGTTCCCACAAGCCATAGCAAACACACTCCCTTAAATCTTGCAGACAGCGGTGACTGCTATGGTGCAAAGTCAAGGACCTGTAGCAGACACCGGTGACTTCTGTGGCAGTCATTATGTTACTGCGAGTATATGACATGACTGCCACTTTTCGTATTCTCAATTTGTCATTCATAATCATTACATAATTTTACATGTAATATATGTAGTTGATATCAGATAAACATCCAGTAGTTTTCTGCTTAATTATTCATCTTATTTTGGCCAGGTTCTTCTTTGAAAGTGAGCGTGGTCTGTTCCCCAACACAGAATTTGTATTTGATTTGGAGTTACCAGCTGACTTCGTTCCTAGTAACAGCGATGGAGAAGTAGAGACTTTTGAACTTCTGCCTGCTAAAGTATGTTTAACGTTATTAACATAATTCATGTAGCAGAAGTGTTCAGTTAATTGTATGAGTACAAAATAAAGAACTCCTGAATAGACTCAGTATAAGTTTTGGTTATATGAAGCATCCATATTCAAGGAGTCCAAATTTGTTTACTCCATTTTGTGTCATAAAAGTAAAACCCTCTGTTTTACACTTGTAGAATGTACCAGAACATTAATTATCCTAAAACTACACAGTGAAATTCGTAGAACCAGATTTTTATTTTTTGCTCAGTCATACAACTCACATAATTTTAGCAAGTGAAGGAGGTTTCAGTTGACTGGATGTGAAAAAGAAAACTGCACACAGAATATTGTAACGGAAACCTAAAGGATGAAATTAAAGGAAACCAAAATGGTGGGCCAAGTTATAGATCTCAGTAATATTAGAACAGGAAAATGAAGGAGAGTATAATGGGCTGGGCGTGAAACTTAAATAGAGGAAACAAAATTACATACTGAATATTTTGGCATGGATGCCTCTAGGATTGACGTTCAAGAAATCTAAGCTTCAGTGCACAGTTACAGATTCGTCTGAATTGGATAGGATAGTCAAATCGAGGGGCTTACATTGTATTGGACATGTAGTATACATGGGAAAACAAAAAAGATACATAACAGAATATTGGTAGGGAAGTCTTGAAAAAATGAACACCTGAAGGCCAAGAAGGAAGTGGGTGGTTAATAATTTGGCTTTTTTACAGGAAGCTCTAGAGAAAGTGTTCTCATCAGAGTTCAAGACTACCAGTTGTCCTGTTGTAATTGATTTTCTCATCAGGCATGGTCTTATATCTCCTGAGACAGGTAACTAATACCACAGAAGTTCAATTTGTAGATCAGAATCTTTCCGTAGGGCTGCCCTTACTTAGCACTTATAGTTGGTCTCAAAAACTGAGCATTAAGTAGAGTAACATTAAATTCCACTGAGTTTCATCATAATAATGTAAATAAGAATACTCTTTTAATACCATTTGTCTCTACAACTATAACATAATAGTTTTAACATCCAAATATATCTTAACATTCTACAGTTCGAAATAATGTGCAAAATTACAAAGTAATGTATGCAGTATATGGCCAGTCAGGTTCCTAATGACTGTAATGTATTAGCAAGTTCAACAAGCCATTGTTTTCCAAATTTGTCTGTACAGCCACTTCAGCCACCAGGATTAGTGGAAAATATACAAGCTGTAGGTGCAAATTATTATGGATCATTTTTGTAAATGTAAAATATAAATACAAAGGAAGTTAAATTTTGTAAATTTTCTGTAGCATACCTAGGAAACTGAGAAGAATATTAGTGCTAATTACAGATTCTCTGAATATTGTGAATAATGCTGGAGAGAGGGTTTTCATGATAATCACAGCATCGAGCATTCCAGTGTTCTGTGTATGTAGTGATATGTTGTGAAAATCCAGTTTCATTCAGGCATGTTGTAGCAAGTGGAATATAGTATTATGTCTGTTAACATTGTCCAAGAAATCCTGCACAGTGTAAATAAAAAAAAAATCAAATTCTGTAATATACAAATTAGTTCCTCCGAAATCTCTGTAGCATTGATACATGCACGGACAAGGACATAGACACTGGATAGTCCAGAATCCAGCATCAGTGGTTTAGGATTTCGTTGGAGAGATAATCTGGAACATTTGTTCGCCCTCCCCTTTTCTAAAAGAAAGGGAAATAAAATTGTCCATTAATTTACATATCCCCTCCCCCAACATTTGATAGTTATTTACAGTTAAAGAATATTTAACATTCTCAAGTCATTAGCTGTTTAATTTCAGATTATGTGTTCTCTCTAAATTTTTTGTATAATGGAGACTTGCAGATAAATCTGCATACAAATTACATAATCATCATCATCATCACCATCATCAAAACCACAAACAAAAGTGTTCTTCTCTTGCTTGTGTGCATACTTCACAGTGTCAGGTGGAGTTCCTAATCTGAACCACTGGTCTAGGCTGCCTGCTAATATCTGCTACAGCTACCAAAATACAGTGGCTACGTCATCAAATTCTTGAACTTAGTGACATTAACTTTGTAATGCATTCTTTTAGCATAAATCGGGATCAGATTAAGAAAGCATATAATTTGTTAGCTTCTTAGAAACCTTAAAAATCTGATTTGTATCCATCAGCACACACACATATATATATATATATT